ATAGATGCAGGGTTAAGGGTTAAGACTTTACGGATACAAGAAAGGAGCCCCTGAGTAATGCCTCGCGCGCCCCCACTCGTATACACCCACGCGCTCCCTACCCGTACACATACATGAGAACATACATACACCACGAATTCGGGTTGACGGGGGAGCGGGGGAGGGGGGTGGGGGGGGTGGGCCAAATACTGCACCTGCCAACAGCTCGGGACCAAAAGTTACAACTAAGCAAAAAAAAAGTTACAACTAACCCAGCTACCGCACGTAGTGCTTTGCAAAAGGCAGACAGCCACGGTTCGTGTTACGTCTAACTCATAAGCTGGCACTGGCGGAGGACTTTTAGGCGCAGCATTGTTGCGGAACGCAGTTTCTTGCAACCCTAGCTTCATGAAGTGCAAGTAGACGTTGCATAAAACTTTGCATGCTGCCCAATGTTTGTTGGAAGCTCATACAGTCAGGCGCGGTATAGCGTAATACCATGGCCACGGTATCAATCTACAAAGCTGGGAGTGATGCAGTTGCGAACACTCCTGGACTTGCCACCCCCTCTCCCTGCGCGCATGAACCTTGACTTTGAGCTCAACTCACGCTCCCCACCAAGCTAAAAAGGTTGCATTCAAGCAGATTTTCCTACTGGGGGAAATGCACCGCTGCGCTCAACATGCCTTCGAAGTGTACACCCGCAATCCCTTTTCTGGGTTGCTGTTAAAGGAGCTTAAATTCAGTTACGATAATATGGGTATACAGTGAATAATACGGGTTCCTTATTATAGCAACTTAATTTAAATTCCTTATCAGCAACCCAGTCTGCTCATTGCTGCGACCCCCATGTTTGGATGCAGCCCCGAAAATGCCCCCCCCCCCTAGACAGTGACACAAAACATCATCTTACTCATTGTTAGTACAGAGTGGCGGAATGGATTCCTCATGGTATAGTAGCTCATGTTTAATCCAATGAAGAAGTTGCAATTTGCTTTTCCACTGCTTTATTCCCCTTTAAGAACTAGCAAGAAGCCCTCAAACCCTATAATCCCACAAGCCCTTCGATTTTACTTCCTACTACAAGACAGCAGGTCATTTCGGCATACGACCGAGACTTCCAGCTTTGCGTGGCCTTCGTCGGAGTTACCTTCGGCAGAGCGCTGCGACGCTGCAACGTCCACTTGCCGCTGCCCTGCGGCTCTTGGCTGCAAATCAGTGTGTCGGGCGTATGGAATGTACTTAAAACAAGCTACTGTATCATTGGGACTTATATATGGTCTACCATTCGGTGGACCCCCCACCCCGTAATAGCGGCATAGCAGGAATATACCAGGACCTTAATATTTTCTCCATGATCCCCTATTAGCCCATGTTCACTATTACTGGGTGGGAGGTCCACCTACGCTCTACTATGGGGAGGGATAGGGGCAGGTAGAACGGGCTTAGCGGAAGAGCCGCTTTGAAGAGGATTCGGGGCTGTGGAGGGTACATTGAGGCTTCCATGTGACCCTACAACCACCTGAAGCCAGCTTCAGGCTTTAGGGTTTAATAGTCCCCCTTAAGTAGATAGAATATGGGGTATATGGGGACATATCTCTAATATACCCGAAACCATATTCTGTCTACTTGAGGGGGACTATAACCCAAACCCTAAACCTTATTTAATATAGGAGTTTCCATTTTCTTTTCCATTATTCCAATATTACCCCAATATTCTATCTACTTAAAGGGGGACTATAACCCGAAACCCTATATTCTAGCTGCAGGGTTTGAGTTTTCGGGTTTAGGGAGCAGCTTCAGGGTTGAGGGGATTTGGGGCTTGGAGTCCGTCAAACAAAACAGAAACTTCTCGGAAACATTGAGGTCATATTGGGCTTATATTGGGGCTATATTGGGGTAATCTTGTGGCTATGTTGGGGTAATATTAGGATTATATTGAGGTTATATTGGTGTTATGTTGGGGCTATATTGAGGCTATATTGGGGTAATATTGGGGTTATATTGGGGTAATGTTGGGGTAATGTTGGGTTGTATTGGGGTTATATCTCTAACATAGCCCATGGCCATGTGGCAACGGCTCGATGGCCCTGAAGCGCACCTGGACATGAAAGCTTTTATGGGACCTCTCCCAAAAGGAGCCCACTGCCTGCAGGACTTTGTTGGACCTTAAAACCTAAACCCTAAACCCCAAACCCTGAAGAGCGTGGGCCTCCACAACTGCAAGCCGCAACTACTTAGTGGCAACCAGTTTTTGCTGATCTAGGGCCATCAAGAACCATGAGGGCCTAAGTATCTTTTTAACTTGAAGCCCCAAGTATCCCAAAGTACATACTATATAGATACCTGGGCCCTTCGGCAAATCGAAACTAGCCACCTCGATATAGTAGATTTAAACACCCTCGTAATATCAAATATTTCCACAGAAAAATATGCCACAAAAGGAATAGCTCATTCCGGGGGGACGGGGGGGGGAGGGTTCAATGTTAGAGGCAGGGCATGTCATTTTCCATGTTCTTTTCCATTTGATTCCCCGCTCCTATATTTCCCTAAGCCTTACGGCCTCAAGCTTAAACCCTAAACCCCCAAACGCGAAACCCC